AACAATATCAGATATATGTATTTCATCTTATAGTGACCATCTTGTGAAGGTGAATGTGTTTTGTTATAACCAATAATGAATCAGATATGCTGAATATTATTATAGCGTACAGATAATTTGTTCTGAAATAGTCTGGTCAGGGTTGCTTTGACCTAAACCTTGCTTCTCTCACGAATCTCCGTGAATGCTGGTTCAGCCTTCACCCCACCTGGAGATGGTTTTATTTTCTGGTCAGTGGTGCAGAAAAGGTGTTTGGCGGAGAGATGGGATGTTGGGCGAGTCCTGCTGTTTGCTAGGCGACAGCTGAATATCAGAGCTCTGTGGTCTTTTCTGAACGTGTGAGGTATTTTTAAGTTCCAAAAATCTCGGTGAAAAACAGCAGGTCCTTTTTTCCCCCACTCAAAATGACAAAAGCAGTCAGAAGAAAGGATCCCGGTAGATGTTTGAGCTTTCTGACTTCCAGAGCCACAGCACAGCACGCTGGTGCTGCAGCTTGGTCTAAACGAAGCACACGCAGATCAGCGTAACGCCCATATCAGCGATGAAGAATGAAGGCTGCGTTTGGCTGGGCGTGTGCATTTTGCTAGTCTTTTGCCACAGGTGCAATATTTATGTGAGTGTGTCTGCACGCATGTACATTGGTTGCTTTCAGTGTGTATTCTTTACAAGCCTGGGAGGATATTTTGGAAGTGTGTGCCGTGTGGATGATGAAATGAGAAGGCTTTTTTTTTTTTCGGAGGACACATCAGTCCCCTGCCTTCAGCCCAGGACTGTTTTCATCTGCTTTCTTTCATGTGTTTTTTTTCTTTTTTTCATGCTTTTACTCTGTTATTTTGGTTTGTTTGTGTTACAGTAAAGTGTTATCAGCTTTTTATGATATAAAGTGCTTGTGCCAGAGGTGGCAGGACTGAACGGATGGACTTTGCAGCACTGAAAACTGATTTTGTGGAGGTTTGACTTTTCATCAGCTCCACTTTACTTTGCTCATCCACCATTGGCTGCCTTCACATTTGTCTCGCCCCTATTGGTCAGACCAAGATAGAAAAAGACCGCTCAGTCGTCTTGGTGAACAGTCCTCAGGTTTTAATTTATTTTGAATATTTATTTATTTATTGTAGTCGACATTTTTACTGTGCTTTTTTTTTTTCTTTTCCTATTGTACAAATCATGCACTTGTGCAAGTGCTGTCTGCAGTTGTTTAAAGAGACGATGCTTCATGTATAAACATGACTGCTTTTAAATGGATAGTACACCCAATCTGCATCCTGCATGTGTTTTTGTGTAACGACCAACATGGTGGAAATGACTTTTGCTTTTTCTGCTGTTTTTCTTCTGCAGATTTACATTTTTTGCTGTTTTACGTTGTCCATTTTTTCCTTCTACTTAATGTCATTACCACTTTTACAGAGTGGGATACATGTTTGCTTTGAAATTCATATGATACAGGACTGTATTTTGTGTGAACTGTCCCACCCAACACTTCGCCTTTTTGATAAGATGGTGAAGATTTTGTCAGATTAACGTTTTTTGTTTTTTTTCTTGCAGTAAACAACAGAGATGTTGTATCATACTTGTGTCTCATCTAGTAATGATTTTCATGTCTAGTTCAGCCTGTTCTAATACTCAAAGGTCAAAGGTTACCTTTGACCACACATATGTGCGTGACCGTGCTAACATGACCCCCTCCCTCCAGAAAAAGAAGAAAAAGCAGCATGTACAGTACAAAGGTGTCGTTCTTCTGTTCTTCTTTGTGTGTTTCTAAACTTTAAAATCATGATGAGATTCACATATTTAAAATGAAGGAGTTCACAGTATTACACAACTGCAACTAACAAGCAGAGTAGCTGGCCTTTTTTTCCTTGCATGACAGTCAACAGGAAACTTGTTTTTACTTGTTTTTTGGTGTTTTTCTTTTTATTTGGGTTAATTTTCTACTGAATGCTGGTATACTCGACCTTTCTCTCTCTATTTTCTCAGCTCTTTAAGTGCATATAACTATTTTTGTCTCCAGATGATATAATGAAGATGATTATAATGATAAGGAATATTATATATAGATTATAG